CAACAAATTGCGAAATAAAGTAATTCACGTCGTGAAACAGGCAAAGTCTAAATACTTCGAGTCTCAAGTGAATCATCTAAAAAATTCAAAGCCCAGGAAATGGTGGAGTGCTATTAAAAACCTAGCTGGCTTTTTTTTAAAGCCTGCCTTCCACTCTGCAGAGGTGAATGGAACTATCTTGCAGGGACGAAACTTAGCACTCGCTGTTAATAACGGGTTTTTAGCCGCCACTAAATCGTTACCGCCGCTTGCAATTACTGATAAATTATCGGTGGAAGAACCTACTCTTTTGTACCCTATCTCCGTTGTTGATGTCGAATCGCGTTTAAAAGCAGTTAAATCGAATAAAGCTCCTGGTCCAGACTCTCTGCCAAATTGGATTCTCAATAACTTTTCAATGGAGATTTCAGAACCTGTGACAATGATTTTTAATGCCTCCATTAAACAAGCACAAGTTCCAATGCAGTGGAAAGAAGCAAATGTCGTTCCCGTCCCTAAGACATCCTCGGTCACGGATATATCTTCAGACTTGCGACCTATATCTCTGACCGCCACGCTCTCAAAGGTTCTTGAATCATTTCCATTTCAATGGATTATGGATACCATTACAAGTTTCAGTTGGATACCATACAAGTCTCAGTTGGAACCAAAGCAATTCGGATCGTTAAAAGGCTCTTCTACGATAGACGCAATAATTAGCATGTTCCACTGTTGGTATTCTAACACAGACGGCAATGGTGAGACTGTTCGTGTTTTTCTGCCTGACTTTAGTAAAGCATTCGACAGAATCAACCACAAAATCCTGATAAAAAAGATGCAATTACTAAATATTGATAAATCTTTAATAAACTGGGTTATTGATTTCCTGATGCAAAGAAGACAGAGGGTGAAATTGGGTTCTTCGTTCTCTGATTGGTCCTTGGTAAATGGAGGCGTCCCGCAAAGTACAATCCTTGGCCCATTACTCTTCCTCATCATCCACAAAGATAGATTGAAATATGTTGACGGCACTAGTCTCTCCGAAACAATCGGTAAAGGTTGTCGAAGTAACCTGCAATTCGTTATTAATAATATCGATCAATTATGCACGGAAAATGATATGATGCTTAACTGTTCTAAATGCAAAGAGCTAATTATCTCGTTCGCTAAGGACGTCCCTAATCTTCGACCATTGTTTATTAAGGCCTGATTCCACGAGCGCTTTTTCTTAGCGAAATAGAGCGAAATGCGAAAAATTTCGCGCGAAATTTTCGTATGAGTGATTCCACAAACATGCGAAAAATTTATAGGGAAAAGAAATTTTTCAAGATGGTGCTAAATAAAAATAAACTTTTATTGCTTCTTTTACTTTATAAACGTCGAAAAAAGAAGCGTTTGATGAAATACAAAAAACATTTTGGGTCCGTGAAGTCTTTCAAGAACGTGAAGATAAAGGCGAGTTTCATTGCTTGGTCAAAGAGCTTATGTTAGTAGACCGGGAGCTGTTTTTCAAAATGTTTAGATTGATGCCAACTCAATTTGAAAAACTTTTAGCCCTGGTTGCACCAAAAATAACTAAAGCAAACACTAGAGTAGGTGTTATATCTCCTGCAGAAAGACTGTGTGTCACTTTGCGTTATTTGGCAACAGGTGATGGATATGTTAGTATAGCTGCAAGTTATCGCATTGGACATACAACAATCAGTCGCATTGTTGAAGAAACCACCTGTGCTATTTGGGATTCACTCTTAAAAGAGGGTTATTTAAAAGTACCGCAGAATGCTAATGAATGGAAACAAATAGCCGATGTATTTGAAAAAAAGTGGAATTTTCCCAACTGTGTTGGTGCCATTGATGGCAAACATGTTCAAATTGTAGCTCCACCTAGTAGTGGTTCCCTTTTTTTCAATTACAAAAAGATGTTCAGCATTGTGCTTTTAGCAGTGTGTAATGCTGACTATCAATTTACATTAGTTGATGTTGGTGAAGCCGGCCGTCAAAGTGATGGTGGAGTTTTTGCAAATAGCAACATTGGGTATTGTATCACTAAGGATATTTTCCCATTACCGTGTCCCAGAGCCCTTGACACATCAGGAACTGTTTTCCCATATGTATTTGTGGCAGATGATGCATTTCCACTTCGTCACAATATGATCAAGCCTTATACAGAGACTGTATTGGATATTAGAAAGTTGGTTGCGAATTATCGTATTTCAAGAGCCAGAAGGGTTATAGAGAATGCCTTTGGCATCTTAGCAGCGAGGTTTCGTGTATTTCGACGACCAATTCATGCAAAGGTTGAAACAACTGAATCAATTACAAAGGCATGTGTGGCACTACATAACTTTCTTATGGTTGGGAGGCAGTATGGCACAGAGCATTATTGCCCTGCTGGATTTGCTGACTATGAAATTGATGGTAAAAAAACTTGATGGGGAATGGCGAGGTATTGTTCATGGTGATACAAGTTTTGCCCCAGTTAAGAATGTTGGCTCAAATAACTATGGCAAGAAAGCAAAAGATGTGCGTGATAGTTTTGCAACACACTTCTGCACACCTGTTGGTGAAGTTCCTTGGCAATGGCAAATGTATGCAGTAGATGTAAATAGATGAAATACAAATACATAAAGGCCATTCAGAGAAATTTAGTTTTGTCAGCAAAAATATATTTTGTACAACAAATTTGTTCTCTTTTTTTTCATTTTTGCCCCCTCCCCCATGAAACTAAGGCTCAGGGCAAATCCCTCCCCCCTCTGAATGACCCTGACTACAATGTATTTTAAAAAGAAAGTAAATTTACTTTCATTAGTTTTATTTGTATGTTCTAATCTGTAAACAAAAACGTAAAAATGTATATATTTACTGTATGTATATATATTTACGACTTGTTGTTGCAGAACAAAATGTTTTACCTATTGAAACATAACACAATCATATAAGTGATGTGTTCAGTCATCAAACTCAATATCAAAGAGCAACTGCTGAATTTTTATTTTTGCCAGTTGGTTTTTCTTCACTGATTGCTCTCCAAGTCGCCGTAATGTATGGGTAATACTTTGACAAAATTGCTCATCTGCATCTTCTTTTTTTGCTGGCACTAACTTATTTTCTTCCTCATTTTTTTCAATTGATTTTATTAAATATTCTTCAACTGGATCAAGTACAACTTTCTTTTTCTTTTTTGGGATAACAGTTGCTTGTGGAAATTGGAACTTTTGTTTGGCTGGTGGTTGTGCTGTGGGGGTACTGCCTGTTGCTGATTTTGTTGAGAAGCTTTATTGCCAGGATTTGACTCGACATGTGTTGATGGTTCAGGTAGAGCTTTTTCAGAGGGGGATGGGATAGCAGGTGAAATAGACCTCACCGGAACATTGCTTTGGGTAGTTCTGTTGCTGATAGAATCTCGTAGAAACAGCAACTGGTTGTAAAAACGACAGGTAGGTTGTTTTGAATACCCACTGCCACTTTTTTCTAAATCTCTCTTCCTGTCTAGGCATTTCTTGAAACCATCTGATAAATTCTTCCACTTTAACTTCACTTGCTCCACTGTAGATAAATAAAATATATCATGTAGGCATAGTACAGCATTTAGTTTAACAACAAGAATAGCATTGATAACATTTCCCTAAACATACAGGCAAGCCCTACCCTCACATCCCATATGCTTTATATTACCAGGTGAAATTTAAATAGGTGACATTAGCCCCCCCCCCCCCTTCACTGGATGGCAGAGTAAACCTTTTAAACTTTTTAGGTAAATAGTTACATATTTTGCAGTAAAATACAAGAGTAGGCTTTTTGAAATACATTGCAAACGTTTTGAAAGATCATTACCTTCCAGCCCTACTTTTTGAGCAATAGCACTCCAAACAATTCTCTTCTTGTCTGACCGTTTATAATCTGGATTTCGTCTACTCCACAATATTGGATGCGCCTGCACTTCATTTACAATCACCTCCAGCACATCAATTGAATTTACATCTATAGAAACAGACATGCATTAATACAATATATTAATAATTATTGTTTATCAGTATTTTCGACGCCAACGTTTGTATTGTAGGAATAAATCTTTGCGTTGTTTACATTTTACATGCTATCATACAATGTCTATACAAAGGTTTGTGCCTTTCTTGTTTATATTTAATAACTTTTCTTGATAGGGGAATTCTCTTCAGTTTGTAATATTTTTATAGTAATAGCTATGCCTGTTAGAAATTCTACCAACAACACAATTCTATTTTACCTTTGTAAAATATCTAATATGAAATTTGTAATAGGAGTAAATATGGTGAGCTTGATCCAGCGTGCATGGATCAGCGTCCATAAACTATTAAGCTTATATAAATTGTTTATAGGCACACCTTGGGCTTCGGATGACGCGGAAGTATTCATCGTTTGGTCGCCCTGCATCATTTGCTGGCTTTGCAAACTACTCTGTTCATCATCTGAATCGCGTTCGTTTAATTCTTGGCTGATAATACTGTTGAAAAGTTGTGATTCCGACCACAGGCGGCCCAGACGTGTATCAGTGTATAGTAAATATATCATTATAAAATATACTAAACAATAAAATTTGTAATGAATTTTATATTTTAAAATCATATTTACTTGCCTACTTTGATTGTATGTGATCGTCTTTTATTTCTGAGCGACTTTACATTCGATGCCTGCGACTGTCTTCATAGGTGATAGTATTGAAAACAAAGGCTAACGATTCCAGTTCTCAAACAGCCGACACGAACACTTCAGCTCGAAATATATCCCCTTCAAATTGCTTTGTTCCCGGTAAAACTTCGCCAGCGTATAGAATAAACACCCATCTTCGAACATACAAGGCAATATTAACACGTCCTGTAATTTTTGCAATGGATTTTTAGCGAAATGTTTCGAGACTAAAATTCTATGGAACTTAGAAAGACCGATAATTACTACGGCGCCTGCTTGGCCACCTAGCCTCCTTTACCGTTTGGATTGTCAGGGGGGGATTCAAATAAAAAACACCTATTTCCGGCAACAGCCAGCCAGTCAACGCCGCGATTCCGACTGTTTACAATATTTGAAATCTGATATTGCAATGTATCAACAACAAAACTCTTTCGATCGATCGATCGTATAGTATAAGATAGAAAGAGAGCTGTATACGATCGAAAGAGTTTTGCTGTTGATAAATTGCAATATCAGATTTCAAATACTGTAAACAGTCGGTATCGCGGCGTTTATTGGCTGGCTGTTGCCGGAAATAGGTGTTTTTTATTTGAATCCCCCCCCTGACAATCCAAACGGTAAAGGAGGCTAGGTGG